TTGAGCCCAGTACTTCTCAAAGACACGACAGAGCATGAAGTGCTAGGCAATGCCTGAGAATGCTAAGGAGCATTATTTTTTATTCTTTTAAATAAGCTTAATTATTTATTTATTGTACATCCTGGCCAAAGTTCCCCTCCCTCCTCTCCTCCCAACCCCTCCCTTCAACCCCCTCCCGCTCTGTTCCCACACCCCTCAATCCACTCCTCCTCTGTTTCTGTTTAGGAAAGGGCAGGTTTCCCATGTGTATCAACAAAACTTTTAAAAAGCTACATCTACCAGTCCTTGCTAGGTGCTACATTAATGAAGGATAATTTTTAGTTTCATATAAACTGAACTCTGAAGAAAGCCAAATAATAGTTGTTGAAATGTGCATTCAAACAAGAGAGCTGCAGAAAACACTTGAATCAAAACCTCTTCATGCTCTCTCTTTACCATGGAAATAAGAAGTGTTCTAAGTATGTGACAGTATGCCCGAGTACCTGCCTTTCTTGCGGTGTTTTACTCACAGGCAGAATCCCCTGGGGTGATGGAATGGTGTTCATTAAGGGTGATCAGCTCTAAGCTGGCAGAGGCTCAGAAAAGAAATAATAGAGTTCCTAACAGCAGAGCCTGTTGATATGGAGAGGAGATTCGGAGGATGCCAAGAGGAAGGCTTCAAGTAGGAGGGTGAGTGGAAAGGCAGGAGCTGCTGCACAGCTCCGAAGGACTGGTGAGTGTGAATTAGAGAGCGACTTGCATTCTCCTGCCAATTAAGTGCTTACTATTATGAGAGCAGAAAAACTCTTCAAAATGAATAAATGGGTTAAACAGAATGGGGATTACCATTTAAGTAGAGCATTCTAACTTTGCTTCAGATCATGGGAATTCGACAAAATCACAAAGGAGAGAATTAGCTGAGCCAAACAGTTTAATTTAATGGGAAATTTATTTCAGAAGAGAAGCTGAGGAAAATTTCTGGAGTTAAGCAATGACATTTAGAATTAGAGGCATTTGTGTACAGAGCAATGTCCGTGGATAAAGTTAAGTAATAGGAATGTTCAGAAAGACCTAGAAAAATCTCCAGTAGAGACCTCGGGCACTTTATAAGGACGAACAAAGACAGATGTAAGCTCTTCATAGGAAAGAACTAGGATGGTAGAATTTGACCTAAATGAAACCACAGCATTACTTACACACGCTGCCCGCCTGGCAGTAGAGGAACACAGGTGTGTACATTCATAGTCACATATAAGTGCACAGACACATGTATACACAAATGTACACATGCACACACATGGGCATCTACATATATATACACATACACACTGCTTCCTACCTTAGAAATCCCCCCAAGATCATTGCTCTTTTAGGATAATTAAAACATACATTGCTGCCCATCACCTGTTATGGATTTGTGTATATTATGGATTGAATAGAAAAATTAATATTAACTGACATGTCACTTGACTGCAATGTGTATTTCATCAAGTCAGGAAAAGGGTGATTGTTAAAACGAAGCACTGTAAAAGGTAGAGCTCCAAATTATACCCCACACCAAAGACGCTCTTCCGAGAGGAAAAGCCGAATTCTCAGACTGTGCTCTCAAAAACAAAGAAAAATTGTTATAGAGTCTGAAATTTAAAATATATTCCAGAAATTAAATTATATACCAAAATATTTTCTCAGAATATAAATGCTTTTTAAGCATTTTAAAGGATCTCTAAAAAAAAAAAAACATAAAGTAGAAACTTTCCAATTATAAAATTTCCTCAGAAAACCTCTATTGTGCTTTTAATTATTTGCTAATTTGATTTAAGATTTTTTTTTAACAAATGTAAGTGGCTAGAGTTGTCTTTTTTTTCATTTAAATTTCATAAGAAAGATTCACAAGGCACATTCCCTCACTAGACTCTGTGTGGCCTATTTATTCGAAATGCTTCATTCCATATGGATTTCTTCTCTTTTATTTATTACTTCCAGAAAGGATTTTCTCTAATAAGTTAGCAACTCAGGGGCAACAGATTTGAATTGCAAGCCTTCAATCACAGTCCCACATCTGCCACCTGCCACCTATCTTCTAGAAGTACCAGAAAAGCTCAAACTTCCATGTGGACAGGAGCTAATGCCATGTGAGCCACAAGCAGGTGGTCCACAGAGGTCAAGGTTAAAGTTCATGGAATAACTTAGAAATGGTACTCAGCTTGGATCTCATTTATGAAGCTTGAGAATACACCCTCTAATTAGAATGCAATTTCCAAAGCAGCCACTCCCTTGACTTTCCAGGACTACGTTTCATTCTCAGCAAAGAAAAGTAAAAACAGCCTCTTCACATTGCCAGATAACAGACCATTATAAATTATGCCTTAAACATCCAATAAAGAAGGCAGCAGGCATCCTGAGCAGCAAAGACAACACGTGAGCCTTCCGCCTTCAGAAACTACCCTCAAGAACAGATAAAGAAAACTCAGTCCGATTCAACAGTTACTCTCTGCACTTTTGACTTTTGTAGCTGAGCTATCCCATGGAAGGTTGGAAAAACAAGTGGGTTGTGGTTTGAAACAGTTCCCACACTCCAATCGTCCTCTTTTTTTTTTCCTGATGACCTCTCCATCCAGCCACCCCAGCACTGTAGTGGGATCTCTCATATCAGTTCTGTGGGAGCCAGCTGTCCTGTTCTTCCACGGTGCTCAGGGAGCCACACAGGACTCCTGGAACAGGACTGAGCCAGGGCTGACTCACTGCAGATGTTCCCTTCCAGCCCCATGGAGTTCTGAGGCACAGTCTCCCTTTCCAAGGCCTATTGTTATTACAAAAGATCTGCTGAGCCTCCAAAATGTGCTGAACAGTAAAGCAAGACGAAAACAGCCTTCTCACCTAATATGGGAGGCAAAATTTGAATTAGGCAGAAATGGCTGAGGACTCTATTGGGAAAGGCCAAGATGGAAAGGCAGACAGACAGCTACATGGAGTTCAAAATCAGCATGGACTAGCAGATGCTACCACAATCACAAACTTCTTCATGCTGTCCAGAATGGAGTCGTGTTTAAAATGCTATACATTGTTCCACTTTAAATGTTTCTTATACATCCAACAAGACAGTCATTGTCTGGAAAAGTATGATTGGGAAAACAGCAGCAATAAGAGATCTCGGAATTTTTAATCCTCATTCAGAGTCAGATGTTCACCCCAAATATTTGGAAATGCTTGCCAGCTCAGGTTTCCAGCAGCATTTCGGGATATGGCCATTATTTTCACATATCTATTTATCTGCCAAAGGTCTCAGCAGCAGGCTCAGAGGAGGTGACAGATCTCCAGATCTCTACAGTCTTTCTGCGGACATTAGTAGCAACCTAAACATTTGTTCCAAGATGCTCCAGCGTCCCATGGCACACACTGCATCATTATCTCAGTAAGGAAACTATTTCCTGCAATATGTCCACTTAACCAGTAAAGACAATGGAAAGAGTAATTCACTTTAAATCCTGCCTTTTTAACAGTATGAATTCTGTGTCTAAAGTGAGCTCTACCAAGTTGCAAACAACTTTAACACTAATTAATTCAATTCACCAAATCCTTATGCAACACAGTATTTGGGATTTTGTCTTAAGTGATCTTATTTACCTTTTGCTGTGTGGGCTTTGGGAAAGCAGATTAGAGAAATAAATCAATTACATGGAACACTTACAATTCTGTTTTCTACACAAAGAAACATTGGCAGGGGGTGAGAAGGAGGGGTAGGGAGGAGGGAACTATACATGTCCCCAATAAGTGGAATTTAAATTCTTTCCTATGTATCTTAGTGTAAAGGCTAGTTGCTAGGAAATCACAAGCAAAATATGACAGCATCTCACCAAACCTTATGTTTCCCAATTGTAGAGTCAATATTTTGATAAAAGATGGCCAATATATGCTGAGGGATAACTGTTTACTTGAAATACTATTTGATTTTTTGAAAAAGGCTATATTAATTCTGTTCGTCATTAATTTCTGAGTTACATTTCCTTCCTTCCTATTGCCTCACCAAGACAAAAGTATCTCAAATCTAAAGTTAAAGAACAAAAACTCATTTTAAGAGCTTTTGTAAAACAGAAAACTATAAATGTCCTTCAACAATATTTTTACTATTATTGTTAATTTCCTGCCAAGTTGGTCTTTTTCTAGTATTCAGTGAAGGCTGGGAACTGAGCATTCTAGAGAAGAAAGGAATGTCAAGAGTCTTGAGAAAAAAAAAGTAAAACAAGAAGGAATCTATATTATGAATTGTCTGGATTCTCTGTCCACTCTGTCATACTAACACTGAGATGCAATAAACTACGAGCAAGAATCCAGAAGATTTCCTTCCATGCTTTTGTGGGTGTGTAACTTTACATTCACTCCTTTGCTAAATTCTTTTCATGGCAAATTCAGTTTGAAAAGTCCAGGAGGACTCAGGGACTGGACATAAGTTCCAGAGGGTCTAAGGCAGAACCTCATATAAAACTCATGTTCTGAGCACCACCCAAAAGATACCAGCATTTCAGAACATTCTCAGGGTGAAATAAATACACCAATGCTTTATAAATGCTCTATGAATTAACCAGGGGAGGAGGGGAGAAGTATGAAAAAGACACAGATAGTAATATAAAAACAGGTTTGGTACCACTTGCCAAATGAATAGAGACCACATGAGCACTGTCCTTTAGATCTGATTTTGTTTTCTTAGTTCACAGTCCAACATGTACTTAAAGATGCCTGATTTCCACTGAGTCCTCACTGAAGAAAGAACTAACTTTGACTAAATCTAACTGTAGGGTATAACATTTACAGGGCAATTCTTTGGTTCTAAAGAAAGTATGGAAGCATATAGAGTATTTACATACTAGTTTTAGCTCTGATTTTTAACTCTGATGCTTTAGTACAAACAAAAACACTTTCAGATTTATAAATGTGTAGCAAAATAACTTGGGAAGGTAACTGAAGGTATAATATCAAAGTCATATCCCTGAATCACTCAAATTTTCTCTTAAAAAAATACTTACTTCTGACTAGTTCACCATCTGGAGGATTTCCCCAAATGGACTGGTCCCTCATCAGTCCATACATGGAGTGGCAACTTGTAGCTTGACTTATATCTTTCTCAGCATTGTCCTCATTACATTTCTCTGAAAAAGATTAAACATTTATTACCAATTGATGAATGCTACATGTATTTTTTGTTTTCAGTTTTGTTTGTTTGTTTGAGACAGTATCTCATAGAACACAGGCCTGGAATTCATGATGTAGTTGATGATAACTTAAAACTCCTGACATTCCTACCACTACCCCCCAACTGCTGGAATCATGAGTGTATAGCACCAAATATAGCTGAATTTTTTGTACTACTTCCAAGTCTGCCACAGCTTAAGAAAATAGAATTATACCATTATTGACTGTTTCATATGTTTTTGGCTCAATAACATTTGTTGAACACCTACTATCTTTTCATCATTAAAGAAACAAGCTCACAATAAAATATAATCTGTCAAGATTGTAGTAAATAAATTTTAGCATGGTAAGTGATCTGTCATCATAGAGAAATGTAGAAAGGTTACATCAAGGATGAGGGTGAGTGAGTCCATACAGATAGGGAGCGGGTGAGACAGAAAAAGCATCAGAGAAGAGACTGCAAATGATTGATGGAGATAAAAGCCAGACCACAGCTGAATGAGGAGTGACTGGGCAGTCAGGACACAGGAAACAAGTACAGAGTTCTCTCTGTAGAAGCGGAAGGGAAAGTCAAAGAGCGCACAATGCGTCCTCAGAGATGGAAGTATTTAGGATGAGAGGTTGGTATGTAGGATCCTGAGTTCTCAGGTGAAAAGATAACATGTAAGGAAATGGAATGTCTTGTTGGGAGCATAAGTCAAGCAACACACAACCTATAACACAAGGCAGAATGCATGCTATGAAAGGTCCAGAGTACTAAAAGGGTTCAAAAGAAAGGGGGAAAAAAATCTCATCAGGATTCAGAGATCAAGAAAGACACTTTAGAGAAAGGAGCACATTGGATGGTTTCTAAAAGATGAGAAGAACTTCAAAAGTCACATGGGAGAAAGGTGGAAGAACAGCATGGGAAAACTCCAAAGCAGACACTTGGGCAAAGGTCCCAAATCCAGGCTATGAAGTGGTTTCAGAGGTTCAGGAGGCGAGACTGTAAAGTTCTCATGAAGCCATAATGTGTATATTTGAATGCCAACATGGGAAATTTAGACTTAATTCAAAAACAAGATGAATAAATCACAGTAAGCATTGAGGCTTTGTGAAATGCCTAAGCAAAGCTATGTATTAAGGAGAGTAATAAACAGGTACATCTGTGCTTCTCAATCCTAATTGGCTGGAGAACATTTTTGAAAAAGCAGATTCCTAGGCCACAATGAATAATTCTATTTCATTTGAGGGATACAGAGCTATTCTCAGGGTGATCCACTGTCCCTATGTCCTTTAAATGTTCACTTGATATCTGATGTGTGCGATAAGAAGAGGATGAAGAAGAGGAGAGGTAGGAAAGGGGTGGGAGAGTCAGACAGACAGACAGAGACTGAGACTGTTGAATTTGAATGCTAACTGCTCTCATAGGTTCACATGTATGAAGATGTGAGCTGATGGAGCTACTTGGAAAGCTCTGGAAACCTTATGAAATGTTCTGAGCTCTAGTCTCAGTGGAGGAAATGGGTAACCTGGGGTAGGCCTTGAGGCTTTATAGCATGCCCCACCCACCATTCCTTCTGCTTCCCCAGCACAGATGAAATGTATCTAGGCAGCTTCCTGTTTCTGCCACAGCGCTGTCTCTGCCTACTACCATGTCTTCTATGCCATGTGGGACTGTATTTCTCCAAAATAAACCTTTCCTCCCTTAAGATGTTTTTATCAGGGTATTTTTATCCTAGCTACAGAAAAGCATGTGGGCCCTGAAACGGAGACTTAGTGAAGTTCAAATAGACACTGACGAGAGTTTAACTGAATAGAAAAGGAGGCAGATGTAGAAACTAAGGAAGGTTGGCACAGATAAATATACAGGGTTAGGAATGCCTTTTTTTGTTTGTTTGTTTTGTTTTGGGGTTTTTGTTTGTTTGGTTGTTTGGTTGGTTGGTTTGGTTTGGTTTTGGTTTTTCGAGACAGGGTGGAATGACCAAATTTTTAAGCCAGATTTGATGATAAAAGGTTGGAAGAATGGGAGAGTAACTTATTCATTATGTACATAGAATACATGTGGTGGATTCAAATGTTCATTCATTTCATTGGGTGATGTTCATACCTTGAAAGATAACAAACACATTACCCAGCCTTCATGTAGTTCATAGTCTAGGTGATGAGTTCAGTACTGACTATCTGAATGTGCAAATCAGAAAGAAAGGTATAGCTAGTCTGTAGGAAGTGGGTGAAGTCCTGAATAAATGTGTACTGCGGGACATGAGCCAGCCATGTCAAGGACCAAAGCCTCAGACCCATGGGGATTTGGCACATTCCACACCTCCACACCAGATGAGGCTCAGAGAGATTTCAAAGCCTTCCTCTGGCCCAAGAGTGAATGTTCATAGTGTCTGCAGAAATATGTGCCATATCCTCCCCCTTTACAACCTGAAGACTGCTCTCCTATAAAGACTGCTTCTAGTGAGGTTACCTAAATCTGCCTCCTTGATTCAACTGTATCCATAAAACTCCGCCTCCATGCTCAGCTGTATATAATAAACAGGAGCACCGAGGAGCTGTGGCTTCTCCATCGGAGAGCCCAGCACACCCGATCCAGCTGTTCTGTGTGCACATGTGTTTTGACTTTACTTCGTTCACTTGCTGCCCTAATCAGTCAATCCCTGGAGCCTGCTGGTCACATACTAGGCATCTTCTTCAAGTTCCACTGCTGAAGCATTCCCAATCACTGAGCTCGACAGAAGAGAAAATCTATTTAAAAGAGTCTGTAGCATTAGGAAACAGTCAGAGAAACTACATGATGTCCAGTTATGGAGGCAAAAACACAAACAGACTCAGACAGAAGTTGTCAGCCAGTCTTTTTAACATTTCCAGTAAAAAGGAAAAATTTCTGTCCATACCAAAAAAATTCTCATGTATCATAGAAATTTCATAACAAATTAACAATTCTGCCACAAAGCACATTTCAACACATGAAATATTGATGGGTGTAAACTCAGGACTAAAACCAGAGGCTAAGATTGCTACAAAAAAAAAAAAAATACGGGCCTTCAATGATAAGCACTTTTAGACTGCAAAACCATATTCAAACACCAGTAAAATATAAATTAAAAGCATGTTAAACCAATATGTTCTAGATTTATGTAACATTTACTCAGCATTATCACAGGGAAAATGTAATCTTCACAAGATGTGCTAGTTTCAATTAAAATCTTAACTTTCTTAAACAACTCCAGAATTCTTTACTGCTGTAGTCAACTCAGGCCTTTCTGAGATTATCAGTAAAAAAGGTTTCTGCAGTCTCACTAGTATACATGAACTGGCTTATCGGCACTCCTACATACTCATACTGTTACGTAGCTGGCTGCCGCCAGGTGTCATGCTAGCAGGCTTGATTCAATTAGTAACTTTAATTGAAGCTGAATGAAATTAATTATATAATTTTGAGCTGTTCAAGTTTAATTCCATTAAAATTAATTCATGAAACCAAGGCATTATGAAGCATTGCTGACTAAAAGAAAATAGGTATGAATAAAGCCTCTAGACACACTTGACGCATATTTGAATCATGTCCAATATTCAAGTGCTAAGCACAGACCCTCTCGACTCCTCACTGAATAAATGACAATGCCACGTGGTCCATATACACATGGATTTACAATGATGTGACCTACTCTGGAGTCGGGGCGAGGGGGAAGGGGAGACAGAGTTCTTCCTACCCCAAATTCTTATTTAGAGACAGTTTAACATTTTTAAGGAGTTTTCTTATCTGGAAATTCTAGAATTAGATGATCACTAATGTCCTGAAATCAAAAAAGGAAAAGAAGAACTACCACTCTGTGTCTCATGATATGGGTAATAAATTCTGAGCAGTTCCTATGACATCACAATCACCAGCATATATATCCAACTTTGCCTCCTTTGAAAACTATAGTCTTGGCATGAGAGCTGGTTCCTAGTGAGTCTTGTGATGACCAATTGCACCCAGCCCAAGGTAAGGCCTAGTAAAGGTTCCCAGTAAAAACTTACATTGTCTTCAGCTAATTCTCTACTTGGATAAACTAAACTTCTGTGATCACTTGTCTGCTCTAGGCCCACCTAAGGCATGCACACCATTTACCTGTATTATTTTACATTTCCTAAGCTTCGTGGAATACTAGATATCTACCTCATAAATAGTGGGTATTTACAGGAATCGCTGAAGCAATGGAAGGATGAGAGAAAGAGGGATTCACTGTTGGGAAGAACATTTAAACAGACTCAACCTTCAAACACTTTTCAACTAGCTGTGTCAACCACTCCTCCTTAAGATGAAAAAAATATCTAATAACAGATGAGTATTATCAGTGTCGGAGTGCTGTGCCACTTCTGCATTGGAAAGCCAAGGGTTCAATCCGTTGTATCCTGGATATATGAAGATTTGTGGTTGCAGTTCAGCTACTATGTGGGAGCCTTGTATGTAGACCATCAGCACCAAGCGATTTCTCTAGCATAGGACATCAGTTTGTACCTAGCTGTAAGATTTAACAAATGTTGGACTCTTCTCCTCCGTGTAGTGGATTCTTCTTCTAAGCCATGGTTCTCAGTTTTGGTACTGAGTCAGAACCATGTGGAGAACACTGGCCACATGATGCACAGACCCCCAAACTTAAAATATTTAGTCTAGGTGATTTTGGTGGATGGAAGAGTGATATCAAAATGAAATGTGTCCAAGCTGGGCAGATAAGAAGATCCATATCTTATTACTCATCTCATCACAGGATTCCAAGGAATCAAAAAAAAAAAAAATCAAAGTTTATCTAATCATCTAATTAATACACCTGTATTTAGTTATACTTCCTTGTCAGGTCAAGTATAAAGATATGAAATTTGAATGATTTATAATATTAATCAGTTATATTGATATATGGAATAAAATAAATATATTTTTAGATAACATAAATTGAAAGCCTTTTAAAACTACCATGAGCCAAAAGATTGCAGTATACTTGTGGGTACCCAGCTTTTTAGTGTGCCTCCCCTGCACAGAGAAATGAAAAACAATCTTTGGATAAGCAAGGAGACCATGTCCTGACAACAAATCTCTCAGCCAGGAGACCAAACACACTCACATGAAACAATCAAGCCCCAACAAAACAGAAGGCGATGGAAACTGTCCAGGGTCAGACTTCGGGCTCCAAGGCTGACAGCTGTGTGAGCAGGGCAAGGCACTCACCTCCTCCTCCTCCTCTGTGTGGGGAGATGTTGGTGCTGGGCTGCCAAGGCCTGCTCACACTCAGACTGTGTGACGCTGACTCGGTATAAGGGTGAACAATAGAGTCCAAATATCCCATCCATGCTAAAGGATGGTCAGACTGGAACAAAGGGCAAAGAAGACTTTGTAGACACTGGATTTGAGTTAATTCTTAGAGAAAGTGACAAGCACGAATTAAGTTAAAGAAAGGGTCAAAAGGGGAAAATTAAAGTTCTAAATGATCGATTTACATACACTATTTCTTCCTCCAAAATGACTATCTAACATGATCGATGTCTTTTCATGTTTTTGTTTCTTTTCTAAAGTTCAGCATGAATAGTGATAGGCAGCCTCTTCCAGTCTGAATTGTTTCTGCTGAGGGAGAATGAGAAAAATTCAAGTAAATAGAATTTCTATTTAATTTAAAATTGCATAATATTTTACCTAGCTGGCATTATCCAAATTTCAAATCTTGATAGTGTTACTTATCTCAGACAGTTGGGGAAATCAAATAATTATTTAGTAATGAGAAAGAAAAGTTAATAACAAGAAAGAAAAATCTAAGACTATTGAATGAATTGGATAATAATTCAGGTAAAATTTATATATGTCATAAAACAGCCATTTCCTTGATATGTGGCTTTTTTTAAAGAAAGATAAAAATGCTTTGCTTTGTTGAAAGAAAAAAGTTAATGAATGTTTGCATTTGCAGTACTGTCCTGGGAATCCAACGGACTTTAATACATAAGGTTTAGTTGATTTTCAGAACCATCAGTAGTATAAATAGGAAGAAAACATCAGTTCAGTTTGACTAATGAGAGAACAGCATGCCTTGGAGTCAGATATTGAAATCAAACAGGATGATGATGACAGAGGTGGAGAGGATCTCGTAGTCAGCTGATTCAGTCAAAGAAAGATCATTGCTCACTCAGTCACTCATGCATGGACAGCACATAGGACACGGTCTGTTTGTAGTCTGGGATGTCAGTTAGCTGCTCTTTATGTTGAATACGAACATGGCATCAGGTAATCTTTATCTAGTTTTAGTTCTGTCTTTTGTAGACAGAACTAGTGAGCTCGACACCCTTCTATTAGACAATTACCTAAACTACTAAACAGGGATGTCTCCACCAGTTTATATGCAAGCAAATATGTTATTTCAATAACTGATCTTTTTCGTGTGCGCGTGTGCACAGGAAGATGACATTTTTCCTATATCATTCCTCCACTATATATTTATTTATTTATTATTGGAGACAGGGTCCCTTGCTGAATCTGAAAGCTCACTGTTGGGGTGGCAGTGGCTGGCCAGAGGTACCAGGAACCCTCTTGTGTCTAGGATTCACAAAGGTGTCCCCACGCCTAGCTTTACTGTGGGTTCTGCGCAGCAAACCTCGGGTCCTCGTGCTTGTTCAGCAAGCACTCTGGCCACCAAGCCATCTCTGCAGCCCTAAAAACTGAATGTTTTCAACAAACAGTGATAACAAAAGAGTACAGAATGCTGCTTCACGATCCACTAGGCTTAGCAAAGTTATCATACAAGGGTGTTTGGTTAAACCTTACGACACTCTGAAGTTCTGAACATACATAGCCTTCTAACAAGTAAGAGTAACTCATCATTTTCAATCCTAGATATGTGCGTCCTTCCCTGTCAAGAACAAAGATTAATTTTAGGGTCTCTAGGATAGACATAATACTCCTAATTTGTACTCTGCACTAGAAAAATCCTCAGGAGCACAGGCTTGAAATCAGGGTGCCACCACTAATGGTGTGAGTTCTATGAAAGTCATTCTTTGTTAACATTCTTCGTCTTTAAAATGAGAACAATTACAGTACCAAGAACATAAGGTGATATCAAACTAAACAGAATCATGTCTAGAAAGCAGAGTCTTGTTTATAATAAGGGCTCATTCACAGTAGCTATTACTGGTTTTTGTTTTGTTTTTGTTTTTTTTTTATTTTTTATTTTTACATAACCATCTTTCAAAGTCCTGATATGAAAATATTATAGGGAAGCTGTTGAGTACAATATCCACTTTGTAATCTTTTCCTGAAATACCATAAGCTACTTGTCTGTAGATTGAATAAGGAAAAGTACATTCCTGTAAGAAGTGTTATTTTTCCCCCTTTTGTGGACAAGGCAGTTCTAAGAGGAGGAAAATTTTTTCAAGTCAGTTTCATGGACACATTTAGATACATGAATCAGATTTAGCACTCTGTAGCCACATAGTTGGGTCTTTCTCAGCCTTTTCTATTATTCTGTTTTAATCTTTTCTTCAATTCTACTATCATGTCATCTCAACTATTCTGCCGAACTAGGCAAAGGTATGTGTAAACTCACAAAGCAACCATCCAATATGTTTTCCTCTTGTTATCTGTATGCTATTTGCTTACTTAGTGAAAGTCTAAATAATGATAGAGCTTGGAAACTATCTTTACAAACCCCTCTAGACCTTAATAAATATTCAAAGTACTTACACTTTTACAGAAAGGAGACTACAAACCTTTATGCTTAAATTTAGGGACTTTTACAAGTTAAGCCTCATACACTTCAATTAGGTACTCGATAATCTATAACAGATACAATTTCCAAAATATCTATATTATCATAATTTACAAACCTATTTCCATATGTTCTTTATCTATAACTCTTTTCATGTACAATCCCATTTTATTTTCCATTCAAAATTCAGATAATTTATGTATATTTTAGTTGACAAAATCATAAGAAATCTGATACAAAAATACCTAAGAAAAGTGAAAAATTCTGTGGCTATATTTTTCCCAGAGGCATGTAACCTTTAAAAACAAAAAACAAAGATAAGGCAGTTCTCAGGAAGACCTGGGGCCTGGAATTTCACTTCTTCACTGATCCAAAAGAAAAAAAAAAGGAACCCTCAAACCTAAGGACCTTTAGAAAACAATGCAAATCCAACTTCCTTTGTCCGGTTTTCTCAAGGGATTGCAATCTCCTTATCCAAAAAACACGTTAAGATCGCATACACATCTTAACACACAAACAAGCATATAAATATACTTCCATTATTTTGTAAACACAAAGAAATATGTAATCACAGATAAATTATGAGTGTTTATGGACTGAACTGAATGCTTAAGTCAATTCAAGGAATTCATCATTACCATTGACTCAGCTATATCTAAAATGCATTCCTTCAAAAGGCTTCTTAGGGATTCAGAAGCTTAACATGTGATTATGATCAAAATGGAAAAAACAAAACAAAGCAAAAAAATAAATAAAACAATTTAAATGACATCAACCCACACCAGCTTACCTACTTGTGTGTCTAAAGGAGGATATGTATAAGTGAAATGGAAAATATTTACACAAAAAATAGGAAGAGTGATTGAATATGAACATTAAAAGAAGGTATAAAATGTGTCACTAGTTTAAAATACATCTCAGTAAATGAGGGGCAGAGGAAGGGATACCATACTGTCCACTCTTAAAGGAGGGTAGGTTAGAAAGAAATTTGATAAGGGGAAGAGAATACACTTCCTCTGTCATCTTAGTCTGCAGTACCTTTAGATTCCTAATCCAATGGAGGCACTTGCAACACATCTGACCCTGAGGCACAGAAGCTCCTACTTTCCCAAATTCTCAAGTTTAAAGATGTTTACTCGACCAAGAACCACACCATAGCCAAACATTCAAAGGTTCATGGAATGTAGCATTACTGTCTTAGAGATCTCCAGAATGACTGACTCATAGCACAAATTCAGATAAAAACATTCAATGCCCA